ATTAAATATATTTATTTACTCAACTTTTATTATCAATTTGACATTAAGTATTTTTATGGTCTAATTAGTTTTTGAAATTAATAAAAAATTAATTATATATATAACTTTTTTATATAATAATATTTTTATTTGATAAAACTTAAATTATTTTCTAAAAGTTGAAAATTTATAATAAAACTATTTAAATATAAAATTCAATGAAAAATAAAAAAAATGTTACGTTATAACTAAGAAGAATAAAATAAATTATTTCATTTTATTTAAAATAAATAAATAAATAATTTTAACAAATATTATTAATTTGTAGAAACAAAATAGATCATAATAATATTATTAAGATTAGTAGGGTCAATAAATAATGAGATATAAGATGTGAGAGAGAAAGAAAGAGATGAGGAAGGGAAGTGAGAGTTAGAGAGAAGTGACATAGAGAGAGATGAAAAAATATAAATAGAAGGAGAGAGAGCGAGACAAATGCTTTAAAAAGATAAAATTTAACTACATTTTCTATTTTAAAAAGAAAGATTGTGATTTTTAAAATAATTAAAACTTTCCCTTTTTTAAATAGATACCAGATATGAAAAATTAACATTTCCTATATAGGATTTTCAGGAAATTAAAAAATTCTTCACCAAATGTCCCTCTGGAGTAAGTGAATATCTTCTCATATAATAACGACGTCAAAATATATGAATCATTTATTGAAAAAATATGTTTTGGTAAACTTACTTCACTCAATAATTTATGTTTTACATTGAATTTTAACACTCAAACATTATATTAAAAGTTTGTAATGTACAGATAAAATATATTAATTTTAAAACGATTGGAAATCATATGACACTTAGTATCGTTAATTTAAATTGATGGATAATCATAAAAGTATTTTTATATGTTAATTTGAATTTATATAATGAAGTATTATATAATTTTCAAATTTTATAAAAATTATAGACTTGATTTATATATCATATTAATAATTTTAATTCAACAGTTAAATAATTAAAATTTGATATAAAACGCGAGTTAGTGAATGAAGAAAGTTTAATAGAATTTTTTTTGAAGTAAGTAAATCCTTCTTCCTCCTCCTCCTTCTCTCTCTCTATCTATCTATCTATCTCATAATTTTAAAAACCGGACAGGTTATCGGAGGAATCATGTTTTAGATTAATTACTTTAGGATTCAATTTTGAGGGATCTTGTTGAATTACTAAATGAACGTGGAAGTCATGAAGATGAAATCATATTTATTTTAAGGAAATTTAGGAGTTAGCAAGTGCTCTAGGGTCCAATCCTTGTTTCATATAATTGTTCTTATAACTTTTACATTACCGTTTTAATTTTGCCTCACATTAGCTCACTTCCAATCATATCAACATCTCTATATTAATCATTAGAGTAAGAATTACTAAATTCTCAAATCCCTGAGGACGATACTTAAATACTACATCGAAACTTGGTCCGCTTGCCAAGTGGAGAGATTGCGAAAATCTTCATCAAATATCTACATAGATATTATATTATTAAATATATAATTTAAAATTAATAATATATTATAAAAGTTATTTAAGTTGTATATATTATAAACAAATACATTAGAACAAGTAGTCATTGTTATATTTAATAAAAAAATTTGTTCTTCCATTAAGAAATTCAATTTTCATTATTATTTTTGTTGTTTATGGTCCCTTAAAATTGTCCAGTTCAATCCGGTTTGAAACGGGTTGACTGCATAACCGATCCAACTTAAGATTCGGACCGGCTGGACCACCGGTTCCCGGTCCAACTGGTCCGACCGGCCAGTTTGATATGGGTTTTTAAACAATGATCTATCTATCTATATATATATATATATATATTAAAAATCTCATATTAATCTTATCTTAATAATATTATTAGTTGATTAAAAGAATCTTGCTTTATTAAATGTTAATATGTATTATTGATATAAAATTTTGGTTGAAGAACTATACTTATGTATGATACACATCATTCATCACCCATGACTATAGAGGTTATGAAAATAATTAAAAGTTTTATAAGTTGCAAAGTTTTCTCACAATTACACTAATTTTTATTATAAAATTTAATTTTCTCATTAATGCAATATTTAACATTTTCTCACACCATATAGAGATTAGTGAGTGATGTGTTATATTATTCATATGAATCTTCTTTATGAGATATTCAAATTACAAAGATTGGTACTATCATTAATTTGTTTGAAATAGCTTCATAAAGATAGAGATATTCAAAATATCTCTATCTTTTAATTAAATAATTACTTTGGCACATTATTTCATATTATAAGCTAAAATTGAGAAAAAAAGTAAGAAGAAAAAATAAATTTAGTTACTCAATGAACTAAAATTAATTTACGCATATTGTTTTTTTTTTTTTTTGTTGAGAAACTAATACAAGAGATCATATAAATTAGCCTATAAAAAAACTAAAGAAAAAATATATCTTACCAGTATTTTCTTCCCTTCAGCCTTTAAAATACCCTTATTAAATTATGATTTTTTTTCTTCTTTTGGATACATTTTATTAAATCATTGACTAATTTGAAAAATTGATGTGACTATTTAAAATTAAATTTAATAAAATTAAGCTTAAATTTGTTTATGGAGGTGGGGGCAATTTGTGAGCACAAGGCCTGGTATCCAAACAGCCCGAAAAGGCCCAGCTCGTTGGAAGAAAAAGAAAAAATGTGATGAATGAAGATTAGATTATTATTACATGTAGATAACATAATAAAGTGCGTCGGCAACTAAGAACGAAAGAAAAAAAAAAAGATGAAGCTTAAGCTGTATGTGGATCGGATGTCCCAGCCTTCCCGTGCGATTCTCATATTCTGCAAGTATTGTTATCTTTTCCGCGAAACTAACCTACCTTCTACAATTGAAATAAAACTATTTTTAATCGGAATACAGCATTGAGAACACTTTCATAACTCTGTTCTTTCGTTTTGTATTTGGACTCTGTATGCTTAGAGTAAATGGAATAGATTTTGAGGAGATCAAAGTCGATTTATCCAAACGCCAGCATTTATCTTCCGAATTCCGAGGTAACTAATTATTTGTCAATTTCATTATATTATCTCCGACCTTTAACTTAATTGGATTTTCATTCAGCGATTAACCCTTTAAGGAAAATCCCTGCTATTGTTGATGGAAGGTTTAAGCTATTTGAGAGGTACTTCAACTTTGAATTTCATGTGTTATTGGCTTGGTGCTGGTTTCATTTATTAATTCCATGCCTATGGAAATTTCTATTCTCTTATTAATGCGTGTGTTATTTTCTTCTATGCAGTCATGCTATTCTCATATATCTTGCTTCTGCATTTCCGGGAGTTGCAGACAATTGGTTAGTTAGTTAGTATTGTCCCTTTTTTCAAATTTAATTGCAATACTCTTTATGAAATCAAGATATGTGAATGAACAAAGGCAATGGAGGGTGTTGGTTTGGAGAAATTGTTAGGTGGTCTAGGACTACCATGGTCCATGGTCCCAACCAATCACTATATGATATTTAAGTTTTCCAACTTATGAGAAACTAGTTAAGGACCATATAGTTTAGGATGGCTTAATAATTTCTCGTTGGTTTGGATTATGCACGTGTTTCATTGGCTACCACCTATAGTGGATAAACTTCTCAATAAAAACTTATAGCAGAAGAAAAAAAGAAAGTAAAATGAATTAAGCTTTTTCCTTGAGTTAAAATTAACTTATGCATTTTAACTTTCATAGAAGTTGTCTCATTTAACTTCTCCAAAAATTGATTTTAACAAATGCATAAGTTAAAATTGAGGCCAATTCATTTTACATTTTTATCTTCTTAATTGTTTTCTTCTTCTATATGTGCTTAATGAGAAGTTTATCCAATGAACTTAAATGTTGCATTGTTTATTAATGTTGTACACTAGGGTTACCATACACATGTTTCTACAATAATAAGATATTATCCACTTTGAGTCTAAGCTTTCATAATTTTACTTTTGAATATCACCCAAAATTAAAGGTCTCTAATTAATGGAGACAATTGTGTATATAAATCCATAATTATCTCTAAGTACTTGTATCGCCAGTGAGACACGCTTCCTAACACTCTATGTTATTGCACACATATGTCTCTACAATGATAAAATATTTTCCACTTTGAGTCTAAGTTCTCATAGTTTTACTTTTGAACATTACCCAAAACTAAAGGCTACTTTTGGACATCACCCAAAATTAAAGGCCTAAAGACACACCTCCTAACCTCCCATGTTACCAGCCAACTCCATCATATCATATTCGTTGAATAGGTCAACTAGTCCACCGTTGGCTGTGATGCCACTTGTTGTGCGCTGAGAGCTACCACACATACATGTCTTCACAATGATAAGATATTGTCTATTTTGAACCTAAGCCTTCATGGTTTTGCTTTTAGACATCACTCGAAAGACTTTTAACCAATAGATGCAACTGTGTGTATATAAATCCATGTTCATTCTCTTGTTTGAACGGTGTTGGATTTTTACTTGCATCCCAACAATTAACAAAGCAATCTTGAGTTCTTTGGCTACTAATGTTATTTTGGTAGTTTGTATGTACAGTTGTGCGTCATACCAGAAGATTCACCTTATTTTGGTGGAAACTAAAATTATAAACAGAAAATCTATGCTTTTGTTCCTAAATTTAAAGGATAGACAGAAAGCCTTCTGCAAGATTTACTTTTGTGTATGCTAGACTGCTAGCCATTTATACTGCAGGTTTCTTTCTGTTGTGCCAATATTGAACCCTTATTTAGTGTTTACGTTGTTGCTTGCTTTTTAACCCTTTTTGTTCCATTAGGTACCCGGCTGACCTTTCCAGGAGAGCGAGAATTCACTCTCTGTTAGATTGGCATCACCTGAATTTGCGTCGTGGGGCAGGTGAAAAAGAACCCTTTTTGTAACTAATATGAAAATTAACAATATTTCATGTTTTCTTATTTATGCTGGTTGCTGGCCTCGTTTTATTAATTTCTATGTAAAGAAATCACAGAATCAGGGATTAATGTCATGTTTTGCTTGCTTGCTGGATTGGATGGCTTTATATTCTTGGACTTTTAAGGAATTTGTCTTTCCATTTGCCAAGTAGGGAAGTTGAATCGAGTTGACATAGCTAGAAGATAATGATTGAGCTTAAGAAAATATGTTCAAAGTTCTAACACCTTAATCTGGAGGATTTAATTAGTTGTAGATGGCAATATATAAGCAGTAGGCCTCTCTTTGAAGTTTCCTATCAAAGGCAAAGTAATTTGCATACATATAGTTTGTTTAATTCTGGTAATGCCATGTATTTTGGAGTTGATTTACATTATCTTCTTGAACATGCACATGTTAATGCCATGCTTTGTGTTGGATCGAGTGTTTACTACTAGGCCGAAAGCTATAGCTTATAGTCAGGGCGCAACTCTTTTTACTTAAGAGCGCAGCAGTCCAAGCGCCATGATTCGATAGTGACTTGGCCCACCTAGCCTCCGCCATGAGACAATTGATGCAACCCGCAACAATCTCCCCCTCAGCAATTGCCCCGCTGGGTATCGAACTCATGACCTTGGCTCTGATACCAATTGTTATGACAATATGTAAAAGAAAGAGAAGAGAAAGAAGACGACACACAAATTACGTGGTTCAGTCAGTGTGACCTACGTCCACGGGCAGTTCAAGAGTTTCTTATTTCTGAATGAATAGAGATATCTGATACAGATGCCTTTTAGCCTTATAACAAGGATAAAATATAACAGCCTCATTACAACCCAAATAAGATTGAAATAGTAACAGACAAAATTATAAATTCAAGGCATCTCAACAATTCTCCACCTTGACTTGAATTTTCCCAAGTCACCAGTAACCAAGAACAACTCTCCTGCTTATTCTCCCCGAATGGTCTCAAGCGATGCGAACATTCACCAAGTCCAAGCTATGCTTAAACTTTTCAAAAGACAAAGGTTTAGTCAACATATCTGCTGGATTGTCTACAGTAGCTATCTTCTCTATGGAGAACAATTTTTCTTCAATTACATCTCGTATGAAATTCAATCTAACATCAATATGCTTTGACCTTTCATGATAGACTGAATTTTTTGCCAAACACAAAGCACTTTGACTATCACAATAAAGTATACGTCTCTGCACATTCAAACCTAGACTATCAATATGACCTTGCAATCATATACCTTCTTTAACCCCTTCTGTCAAGGACATGTATTCCGCTTCAGTGGTAGACAAAGCAACAGTAGGTTGAAGTGTTGCTTTCCAACTTACAGCACAACCATAAAGAGTGAAGATATAACATGTCAAAGATCTTCTCCTCACGAGATCTCCACCATAGTCAGAATCTGCATAGCCAATAAGACCACACCCAATATCATTAGAACCATAAACTAAGCAGATATTACTAGTACCTTTCAAATATCGCATAATCCACTTCACA